GATCCAGACAGTCAGTTTGTATTTGCATTTACGCATAAACCCAAGCAGTACACTTGGACACTATTGCCACAGGGCGCACAAAACTCACCCACTATGTACAGCATGGCAATGGCCCAGATTCTTGAAGAGTGGCAAAGGCCAAATAACATAATTTTATTGCAGTATATCGATGACCTACTCCTATGTTGCGATAATATGGAATCTTGTATTGTAAACACTCTTTCCTTGCTGAAATTCCTGGAAAAAGCAGGCTGTAAAGCGACAAAAACGAAACTGCAAGCATGTGTAGAGAAAGTTATTTTCCTAGGACATTGCATTTCCCAGGGCATAAAACATCTCACGGAAAGTAGAAAGACTGCAGTTCAAAATATTAAACCCCCCCGCAGCCTAGCCCAGCTTCGTACATTTCTCGGTTTGATATCTTACTGCCGTCCTTGGCTGCGTTCCGTAGCTATCTACATGCAACCACTGTATGATTGTCTTGCCAACGAAAACAAACCATTTAAATTAACCCATGCGGCAGAAAATGCCTTCTATACACTTAAGTACTGGTAACGTCAGCTCCGGCACTGGGTCTCCCAGATTACAGAAAGAATTTTAACCTGTTCTGTACTGAGCAATCAGGTTATGCTACATCTGTCCTTACACAGGACCATGGTGGTAAACAAAGACCAATAGCATACTACTCCACCAGATTGGACCCTGATGCCAGGGGTGCCCCCTCATGTGTTAGGGCAGTGGCGGCTGTTACTGCCCTCCTGGACAAAGCCACTGATATTGTCTTAGATAACCCGGTGACCATATACACAACGCATGATATCAACAGCATACTGTCACAAGTTCAACCAAAACACATACATACTGCAAGGCATCTCAGAATGCAATGTGCCTTGCTTATGCCACCTAATGCTACTCTTAAAAGGTGTATGGTGTTAAATCCATCTACATTACTTCCCCTGGATTTAAAAGAGGGGAGTGGGGATAGTGGGAATGGTACTTGTACTTCTGATCTTTTTGTAAATTCACTTTCACCAGATGAGTTAGCTGATGCCCAGGTACCCCATGATTGTGCAGCACTAATGGCACAAGAAACAGCAGGCTTTTTGCATGTAATTGATTCTCCGTTATCTAATGCAAATTTTGAGTTTTTTGTAGATGGTTCCAGATATGCTGATGAGAAGGGTAATTTCCACACTGGATAGGCTGTAGTCTCTGCACATGAGGTAATAAAAACTGAATCACTCGCTCCTCACTGCTCTGCACAGGAGGCAGAGCTGAAGGCACTCGCTGAAGCATGTAAAATGGCTTCTGGTAAGACTGCTAATATTTATACAGACTCTCGCTATGCTTTGGTATAGCCCATGATTTTGGCCCTGTATGGCGGGCTCGTGATTTTCTTACCTCAGCAGGAATTCCAATCAAGAACTCTGAAGCCGTGACTGCACTTATGGACGCTATCCTGCTACTGTCAGGTTACCTGTAAATTATGTCTCTGAGGAGGTCAGTCTCTCTTCATAGGGGCTCCCCTCCCTTAGCATTTCGGCATTTTCCGGCCGTTTTCCCGCCGGCCGCGCTAGCTCCTCCCCCATTATGACGCGACGGGTAGCGTCGACGTCATGACGTCATCATTACGTGAAGCGCCGGGAACCGCAATCCCGGACCTTTTGGGGGCGTGGTCTCAATTAAGGTGACAGGGTATTTAGGGAAACTTTTTCTACTGCTCATTGCCCTGTCGTGGTTCTAGCTTGCTAGTCACTCAGCGCGTTCTCTCTCTTTGTATTTTCGGTTTTGACCTTGCTTGTACCTTGTCCTGCTGCTCTCTCCTCTCCTTTGACTCGGCTTGTTCCTCGCTTACCTGTCCTCCGGCTCCCTCGACCTCGGCTTACCTTTTGACCATTCTTGTTTTGTCTATACGTTAGTCCGGCCATTCTAAGGTCCGGTATACGTACCTCCTTCTGTCCGCACTCTGCGTATTGGACCCCTGTCTCGATCCTGACAGCTACTCACTCAAGTAGGCATCATCAAGGCAGCAGCTCACATGAAGATCACAGATGAAATCTCAAGAGGAAACCACAAAGCAGATGAAGCTGCGAAGCAAGCAGCAATGCAAGTTCATCCCTCTACAGGTAACACCTTCCTACAAGTTCTTCTTACAGATGACGCCGTTGACTACAATATACTGTTGAGCTTACAAAGAGAGGCAAGCAAGGAAGAACATGACCTCTGGAGGAAACAAGATGCAGAACCTGATGATGACAGAATGTGGATGAAAGGTAGGAGTGTATGAATATGTGTTGGTGTGCATTGATCTCTTTTCAGGTTGGCCTGAGGCCTACCCAGTGTTGAAAGCCACAACGAAGGTCACAGCAAGTAAGCTTCTGAAGGAACTGGTATGTAGATATGGAGTACCTGAAGTGATTGAAAGTGACAGAGGTAGCCATTTCACTGGGGAAATAATGCAAGAAATTATGAAAGCCTTAGGGATCAGTAGGGCCTTCCACACCCCCCTATCACACCCAGAGTAGTGGGAAAGTAGAAAGGGCAAATGGCACCTTAAAGAACAAGATTGTAAAAGCCATGCAAGACACAGGGAAGCCCTAGTACTCTTTTCTATGAGATTCACCCCCAATTCCAGACATGGCCTATCCCCTTTTGAGATCCTGTTTGGATGTGCCCCAAAGACAGGCCTCTATTTTCCCCAAACCCTCCAGATGCAGCATGGTAGTATGACTGCCTATGTTCAGGCCCTACACCAAAGATTAGGCAAGGTGCATAAACAAGTCTTTGATTCTTTTCCAGATCCAGACTCTGATTCTGCAACTCACAAACTGCAGCCTGGTGATTGGGTGGTGATAAAGAGGCATGTGAGGAAAGGACTTGAACCACGTGTTGACGGTCCATTCCAAGTGCTCTTGACTACGGGTACCTCAGTATGGCAGGAAGATATATGGTTGCAGATAGCAAAGGCTTTTAATTTAACCTCCTTTTGCCTCAACCCTTGACTTAGGTTGTGAAGCTATTGAAGGTATGTGTTGTTTTAAACTATCTGACCATGGCACTATGATCCATAAACATATAAAAGATTTACATGACTTAGTACAGGATATCAAACAGGATACTGGCTTCTTTGGGGATTGGGATTGGACATTTGGGCTAGGAACATGGTTGACTTAACTAATTAAGAAAAAAATGTACTTTTTGCTATTAGCTGTATTTGTCATTATGGCCATTTTTCTAACCTTTAGATTTTTTTCATGTCTACTAACTTCTCTATGTAAAAGCAAACCTACTGTTGGTCGTACATTAACTTACATTCCAGCTCCGACTTCGGAAGGGTTTTATGATGTTACCTCGCCTAACAAATTAAGGAACTCTCCTCCGCTGATTCTGGTGGTCTCTCAGTCCAAGGGAACCGTGGTGAAGCAATAAATGAAAGTCCCACAGGCTTTGGCTAGCAGGCCTGGAAATACCTTGGACATTTGGGTGACCCTTGGATCAAATGAGGGTATTGTGATAGAATTTATCTTGATTCCAAGGCTCAGGCTTATAGGTGTCATATAATGATATCCTATATTAAAATTGGCTAACTTGGACTCAGGAAATTCTTGATGCTTAACACAACACTTAAGACCATATATGTCTAGTTCCGGGAGCAGAGAGCCCCCACCTGAGATGTCTCTTCTCTAATCTTTTTGTTCTTTCTTACATTGGAACTTATTTGTTATGTGTACATGACGTTCATCCCTATGTATTATCTGTACTCCCTTCCTATTACTGTTCTATGAGTATTTGCACGTAAGCACTTACTTTTTAATGTATAAAACCCAGCTGATGAATAAAACAGCAGAGGCTTATTTTGAATACCAACAGGTGTCTGGTGTCTAATTCTCGCTTCTCCAAGTGCACTTGTAATAATAATTTGGGCTTTCTCTGAATATAACAAAGATCAACATTCTGATCCACAACAAGGCTTAGTAAAAAAGTCTCTCAATAGTCCCTCTACTGGCAAAAGAAGTTGTTGTTTTCTGCCTCCTCATTCTTATCAGCAAGTTTTCTTTAATGAAAGGGAAATTAATGCTCATTCCTAAAGTTGCTGTGAATACTTTGATGCTCCACTAACGTTATCAAAAATCACTGACAGGTTTCATAATTTATTTTTTTTATGTAGCAGGTCTGGGTTATGACTTTACTTGAGTTTTCTGAAAACATTTTAATGGAAACAAAGATAAAATGCCCAAAAATGATAAAACATATTTTGAAGTTCTATGCTTCAACAATTATAAAACTAAGTAGAACACTGTCCATGTGACATATTCTTTATACTTACTTAAAGAAGCATCAGACCTTTTTTCTAATCGGGCATTTCTGAAAAATAGGAAAATCAAATTTGTTTTAACACTGTATGACTTTAATAAGTGTTTAAAGGCACACTCCACTGCCCAAATATAAAATAAATAAAAATCACTGTTTAGTATACTTACCCCAACTGAAAACTTGCATGTATGTAATTATAATTTTTTTCTTTAGAGTCATAGCTAATACCTATTTGCAAAAACTGCATATCAATTGTCTGATGCGTTCGCAAACCCTCCCCTTCTAACCCCACCCAGGTGCTCTGGGCAATTGTTGCATCCTGAGTTCAGTCAGGGCCGTCTTTAGCGCGGGGAAAACGGGGCAGCTGCCCCGGGCCCAGTTGCTCCTGGGGGGCCCAAGAGCAGCTGCCCCGTGGGCCCCGCAATATCAGCAGCCCCCATGTACCAGGCGGCCGGCGGTGCACCAGCCTGCCAACTAAGGAGGCCCCCGGGTGGCCCATGCACTAAGGGCCACCCTGTGGGCATGTGGCAGAAGGGGCCCGGTCGGGTGCTGTGACGCTTAAACAGCGCGACCGGGCCCCTTCCTGTACCAGCTGGGAGGAAGTGAGTACCACGTGTCACTTCCTCCCACCGGAGATAGCCGCGCGGGAGGAGGAAGGCAGGGAGGAGGGGAGTTCCAGAGAAGAACTCCCATCTGCCTCAGCCTGCCACTGGACCCCAGGGAAACCACCCTCCATAAAAAGGTAAGAACCTGGAGGGTGGCTAAATGTATGTCAGTATGTGTGTGTGTTAGTATGTCTGTGTTTGTGTGTTAGTATGTCTGTGTGTGTTAGTATGTCTGTGTTTGTGTGTTAGTATGTCTGTGTTTGTGTGTGTTAGTATGTCTGTGTGTGTGTGTTAGTATGTCTGTGTTTGTGTGTTAGTATGTCTGTGTGTGTGTGTTAGTATGCCTGTGTGTGTTAGTATGTCTGTGTTTGTGTGTTAGTATGTCTGTGTGTGTGTGTTTGTTAGTATGTCTGTGTGTGTGTGTTAGTATGCCTGTGTGTGTTAGTATGCTTGTGTGTGTTAGTATGCCTGTGTGTGTTAGTATGTCTGTGTTTGTGTGTTAGTATGTCTGTGTGTGTGTGTTTGTTAGTATGTCTGTGTGTGTGTGTGTTAGTATGTCTGTGTGTGTTAGTATGTCTGTGTGTGTGTTAGTATGCCTGTGTGTGTTAGTATGCCTGTGTGTGTTAGTATGTATGTGTGTGTGTGTGTGTGTGTGTGTGTGTGTTAGTATGTATGTGTGTGTGTTAGTATGTCTGTGTAAAAGTGTTGCATGTCCGTGTTTGTGTGTTAGCATGTCCGTGCGTGTGTGTTGGGCATGTCTGTGTGTGTGTGTTAGTATGCCTGGGTGTGTGTTAGGCATGTCTGGGCGGTAAGCTAGGCATGTCTGGTGTTTGTGTAAGCTAGTATGTCTGTGTGTGTGTGTGTGTGTTAGTATGTCTGTGTTTGTGTGTTAGTATGTCTGTGTGTGTGTGTGTTAGTATGCCTGTGTGTGTTAGTATGTCTGCGTGTGTTAGTATGTCTGTGTGTGTGTTAGTATGTCTGTATGTGTGTGTGTTAGTATGTCTGTGTGTGTGTGTTAGTATGTGTGTGTGTGTGTGTTAGTATGTCTGTGTGTGTGTTTTAGTATGTGTGTGTGTTAGTATGTCTGTGTCTGTGTGTGTGTGTGTGTGTTAGTGTGTTAATATGTGTTTGTGTGTTAGTATGTCTGTGTCAGTATGTCTGTGTGTGTCTATGACAGACATACTGACATACACACACAGACACACTGACATGCACACACACAGACATACTGACACATACACACTGGGCTAAGGGGGTAGGGGCTGCTGTGTGAGAGGGAGGCAGGGGCTGCTGGATAAGAGGGCTGCTGGGTAAGAGGGAGGGCAGGGGTTGCTGTGTAGCAGGGGGCAGGGGCTGCTGGGTAAGAAGAGGGGCAGGGCCTGCTGAGTGTGAGTGGGGCAGGGGCTACTGGGTGAGAGGGGACTGTTGGGTGAGAGTGGGCAGTTCCTACTGGATGAGAGGATGCTGGTTGGTGAGTGGGGCATGAGCTGTTGGGTGAGGGGGCAAGGGCTGCTGGGTGAGAATGGGCAGGGGTGCTAAGTGAGAGGGGGCAGGAGCTAGTGGGTGAGAGCAGGCTGCTGGGGCTACTGGGTGAGAGGGGCTATAGGGTGATTAGGGGCTGCTGGGTGAGAGGGCTGCTGGGCGAGTGATGGCAGGGGCTGCTGGGTAAGAGGGGGCTACTGAGTGAGAGGGGGAGAGGGGCTGCTGGGTGAGGGGGCAGGGTTGCTGGGTGAAGTTGGCAGGGGTGCTAAGTAAGAGGGGGCAGGGGTTACTGGGTGAGAAGGGGGCCGGGGCTATTGGATGAGAGGGGGCTGCTGGGAGAGAGGGGGCTACTGGGAGAGAGGGAGCTGCTGGAGCTACTGGGTGAGTGGGGGCTGCTGAGTGACTGGGGTGCAAGGGCTGCTGGGTTTACTCCCCCATCCTCCTTCCTTACCTTGAGTCTTAGTAGGATATGTCTGCAGGAAGTGTGTGTGTCTGTTAGTGAGTGTGTCTGTATGTCTGTTAGTGAGTGTGTCTGTCAGTGAGTGAGTGTATGTCTGTCAGTGAGTGAGTGTATGTCTGTCAGTGAGTTTGGCTTTATTTCTCAAGGTAGCTCTATTTGGAATAGAAATTAACTGTAAAAAAAATGTGATTTTCATATTTCTCAAAACAGAACAAATTTTCTCAGTGAGCAGCTCAGAGGTTTTGCTACGAAGCATTTAAACTCAGATAGGGGCAAAAGAGTGAAAAAACTTCAATCCAATTGCCCCCCAAAACAAGGATCCAAAGTATCTGGAAGACAGCAACTAGAGGTGGAGTTAACCCTGCAATGTAATTATTGCAGTTTCTCTTAAACTCCAGGGTTTTACATTACTTAATTAAACAGACAAGGACTCTGCAAGTAGACCACTTAAATAAGATGAATAGGTCTGGATGCCTCATAAAAAAAATAAAAAAAAATAAAAAAAACGTTTATTGCACATGCTACCACAGTATAGCTTTCGGTCAGTACCAGAGCTTACCAGTTAATTATTTATATGTTGTAGGGCTATCACATCCCCTAGCTTGACTTTAAGCACCCATCTTGAGCTGCTCTCTTTGCAACTTACTTTAATTTAAAAAACGGCTAAAAATTCAGAGCATTGTGTATAGAACCCAGAGAGATATACATACAGGAACCATTGCTACAGTCTCTGACAGCAGTGGAGAAGTGAGGAATAACACCGCAGGAAGGGTTTGGGTCCCTAGCCACTACACACAGGCAACTGAGATTATAGATAAATCAAGATTCTGGTAAACAGTGGCAGTGCTGTCTTCAACAAATGCTATACGAGGTAAACCATGTTATCCTCCTTTAAAAACTCTACACTAATTATAATATTAAAGTGCAATATTAGAAAACTATTATTATGTTAACTTAATGTTCTTTATATGGACTCCCGTATTCACTTGGAATCACAACCTTGTTTTAACTATTTCTGAACTCTTATGTTTTAGAAAACGTCAATTCATAAGAGAGTCTTCTGTAGACTTGTACACGATGTAAAAAAAATATTTTGCTGAATCAATTTGTATGAAGGAAAAAAAAGTCCAGGTAGTCCAAAATTTGTTTAGAAAAAGTGCCAGAAAAAAAAAAAAACAACACAAAGAAAAACCAGCATATGCAATGCAAAATACCTTAATCGTACCATTGTACATTTTGAATAAACAACGATTTAATATCACAGTAAGGTGGAGCGAGTTTCCTAATCCTCTTTTTAAGTAGTTGGAGCAGTTTCTGGAAATTATCTCATATTCCTACCTGACAATGGTGTCTGTTTCAGATTTTGGGATGTACTCATGCTGCCATGAATATTTAAAGTAGTTGAACACAATAAAAAGTAATTAACCCAACTTCAACAACAGGTGTTGTGTGGGGGAATATTGGCTTTTGTCAAAAAGTCATAAGTACATGTGCAAACTACGTTCGTCTAATTCTCCATAGGATTATTACTAAAAGAATGCCACAGGGATGATAGTATAATAGTTTGGAAGCCTCATTAAATATGCAACATATAGCTATTGGCAGGAAGAAAAGTCATTCAGAAGCTTAACATATTATTCAAGTTGCATGAATAATATTATTTTAAACAGTCAAACGTTATATCCTTTAATAAAAAAAAGTAATGGTTTTAAAAACAAAAATGTGGCATTGTGTGGTTATATACTAAATAATCTACAATCTATCTCATTCTAAAATCTCCTTAAGATCCATGGTCACCCATCTGCTAACATTGGCCGGGATTTAATAAGCTTTTCAAATGATTCAATAGTGTTAAAAAAAAAATTTGTAAAATCATTTCGAAAGTTTTCCTAGCTGCATTGAATCGTTTTGAAAGCTTTTTAAAGCAATGGCATTGTGTTTAGGGATATTCCAAAGCAGGTTAAATAGAAGCGTTCTGCAGATCACAAAGGTTGAAAGATGGAAAGTACTGTTGATGTCGAAATATGACATAGAGTGATAAAATAGACAGAAATGTAAGTGAACAAAATAGCGGAGGCAGACAGAAATAGAATAATACTTTTGGGTGGTAATATAAAAAAAAAGATATTCTGCAGTACCATAGATGCCCACAGGAGGCATGTGAGATAAAATTCTGCCATGCCAATGGTTAGGTGATGAATTGTATGTTTGTATATTTTATTTATATCACACTAACAGGTGTACTTAGCCGTTTACAAATTTACATTTCCAAACAGTTGTTCTAGCTGCGCTGTTCTTCATTGGCTTTAGCCAAGAGGTAAACTGGCATGCTGACATATAGGGCATTGTTATAGCCAAGGTGCCATAGCACCAGTGATGAAATTTCCGTTCTCATGAACCTTTCATTTCAGCAGTGTGCTGTTCTGTGTTTCATCCATACATGCTCATTTATAAAATGTAAGTTGAGCAAAAATAGCTTCTCAGCTAAAAATCTCAATCTCAGCTCTAGTAACTAATTTAATTCTCCTTAATTCGGAATTTAGAGATTGGATTTTCTGTGAAGGTTTTGTTCTCACCAGCCTATTATGTGGTTATTAACATGTTTTATCTTGAGGTGATAGGAAATATGTAAGTTGCCTATCATGGCGTAAAGATCTAGCTTTATCTGCAGACATTATCTCGGCTTTATATGAGTTTAATCAGAATAATCAGAAAATGCATAAATGAAAAAAAAAAAAAGTCCTGTAAAGCTTACAATCTAAGGAATGATTTAACTTCAAGGTGTCAAACGTACACATGAAAAGTGCAATATAATGGGGTGAGATACTGACATAATATTGGATATATAGGTAATAGTTGCAAAGCAGGAAAAATAACAATTATTTGGAGAGAGTCATTCTGGTCTGTGGATTACACAATATGGATATCAGGCTCTATAGATATATATCAAGATATCAAGATGGATGATAGACAGATAGACAGATCAACATACGGACGGACAGACAGATGGACATGTATGTGCCAAATAATTGACATATCCCACAATAATAATAATAATATTTTATTATCCTAAAAAGGTTGGCTCGTATTAAAAGGGGGCTACTGTAAGAATCACAAAACAGTATCCAACCCAAATTGAATTAACAAAAATATGTTTTTTATTTTTCTTACTAGTACATTCTGAATGTTAACCATGCACAAAAAACTGTTGCAAACAAACTTAAGTACAAACTATGCTTGTTTTCAAAAGATGAAGAGAGCGGCAGAATCCATTAATAATTTATAATAGAGTATGACAGAATAATGTTTCTAACGTATACATTAATGTGCATAGTCGGGTGCCAAAAGACAATAGAAAGATTCTTTGCAATTGCTTTCTGTATGCTGAAAGGAGAGTGGATGACATGACACACGTTTAATTTCAGCACACTTGTTAAATCAGCCCTGAATTTTTTATGAAGCTTCAATAACCAGTAGCCTGTAGCTTAAAGCTCTGGGGGTTTCACTGATACAATGAGTACGGTCAGCTCCTACTTCCCATCTGGCATAGAGTGACAGAGACAGTCAAGAGGGGCTGCAGGAAACTTTAAGAAGAAGAAAGCTCATGTGCAACGACCATTGTGCAAGAAAAACAGAACATGCCATGCTGTGTGTCTGTGTCTCTTTAAGGCTTGTAGACAACAGCTAGAGCGTTGGCCATAGAGTAGGTTTGGAGCATGTGTTTAACACACGAGGTGATACAACAGCTGTTTGACA